TCACTCACTCACTCTCACACACACACACACACACACACACACACACACAGATGAGAAAGGCTGGATCATTTGATCTGTGCTCGTAACAGAAGAGAGATGATGGTCATAAGAGCAGAACCGCAGAGATGAAACATGATCACGGGTGACAGAAGATGACGTTTGTTTGAGAAATATAGAAGTAATCAAAAGAAATAAAGCTTTATAAATTATTGTGTTATATTACAAAAACAGTGAAATCAAAGCACAGGACAGCGGCACATGTATTGATTTCAGTGGTTCTGAAGGGCGACTGTTTAAAAATTATTTAAATAATTTTTAATACATTAAAAAAATCTAAACTAAAATGCTAAAAAGACAATTAAAATAAAGAAGTAAACTTGATATGAATTTGGATATATTCATAAGAAACATATACTTTATAGCAAATATCAGCTCTGTGTTTATATCATTGCAAAATGTGATTAAATTATCGTCCAGTTCTAATTCTGATAAATTCAACTATGAGGTATGAAGATATTTCGATTATATAAATTTAAACATTATGGCCCGGTTTCACATACAGGGCTTAAACTAAGCCAGGATTAGGCCATAGTTCAATTAGGACATTTAAGTAAGTATGTCTTTATTATTAACAACAACTACGAGTATTGTTAATTGAAATAAAACAGAAATAATATAAATTCGAAATATTAGATGAAAAACTTCAACATTTTAAGTTAGTTTTATGAAAGTTATTTAAGTTTATGTACTAAAACTACTAAAATGAAATAAAAATTAATTAAAGCTAAATAAAAAATATTAAAAAACAAATAAAATTTCAAAAGCGCATAAAAGTTTGTTAATTGAAATAATACAGAAATAATATAAATTCGAAATATTAGATGAAAAACTTCAACATTTAAGTTAGTTTTATGAAAGTTATTTAAGTTTATGTACTAAAACTACTAAAATGAAATAAAAATTAATTAAAGCTAAATAAAAAAAATATAAAAAAACTAATAAAAATGTCAAAAGCACATAATAAAATTACTTTAAAAACTTAAATTAAAATAAAACTGTGAATATATAAACATAAGCTTAAACTCAAATGAAAATAAAAACGGAAAGAGAAAACAAAAATATTAATTACTAAAATAATAATAGTATAACCGTGCACTGTCAAAGATGGGAAGTTAATAGTGTGTTAAAGGCACGTTTACAGAGTCATGAACATCAGTCAGAAAAGCAAAGCGTGTCTTTCTGGAAACGAGTTGTGATTGTGCTGAATCACTGACAGTTCTGAAGGATTGCTGTGTTTGTCTGTGTGTGTGTTTCTGCGCTTCAGTGTGGATATCAGCCGGTTTCTATTTCTGCCGCTCAGTGAAAGCCTATTTAAATCCATGTGTACGGGGCAGCCGCGTGTCTGTCTCTCTCTCCGGCCGTCTGCGGCCTCAGTAATATAAGCTCCGCTGCGTCTCTCTCTCTCGTCTCATTCGGGACTTTCCCCGCTCCAGGACAGACGTCTGTCGGGATCCAGCAGTACGTTTGTGCTTTTCCTCTAGTCCGCGTGGAATACTTTCTTTTTCTTCACCTGTCTCTCTCTCCTGTGTCATTCTGTGATCGAATGCATCTGCCCTTCTCTGATTGTGTGGCTGTGTTTTAAGTGTGTTTGTACTCAAAAACGTTTTTTATACTTCTGTACTTATATTTTTGAACATGTCTCACTCCTGACCGAGAGAGAGAGAGACAGACATGGAGTTGTGCTTTTTCTGATTCGCTGTTTTTATCGGATCGTCTGAACGATGGCGCAGAGACACATGGATGGTGTAGGTAGGACGGACTGCGTGTTAAAACTGCTCTCTGTGTGTTTGGAGGTTCACCGTAGAGATCACTGTGTGTGTGTGTGTGGGTGTTGAGCTGTCAACACATCCACACACACTGTAAATCAAGCACTAAACACACACACACACACACGTCTGCTTTGTGTCTGTGAAAGTAAATATTAGAATTAGTTTTAAGAACGAATAGCATTGAGAATCGAGATCTGTAAATTATTTTCATGCTGTCGGTTCCGTTACGTTCTTCCGCCAAGTTTCCTGCGTGATAAAACATACCGCTTATCATCCAAAGCTTATTCTAAGGAAAGCATGTTTTACAAATGTCTTTCTTGCAGGTCAATGTAATAAAGTTCCTGTTTAGGGAAAATAATGTTTGCTGATACAGTACACTGCAATAAAAAATTACATATATATGTAATATGTATGTATATACATTTACATTTAATCATTTAGCAGATGCTTTTTTCCAAAGCGACTTACAAATGAGGAGAACAGTAGAAGCAATCAGACGAAAGAGAGAGCAATAGTATGCAAGTGCTGTGACAAGTCTCAGTTATTCTAGCTCAGTACACATAGGTAGTTTTTTTTTTTAATAAAATAGAATAGAATAGGTAAGTGCTAGTATTAGTTCGTCAGGTGCTGACAAAAAAGATGTGTATTTAGACATTTTTTGAAAATGGCCAAAGACTCAGCTGCTCGAATTGAGATCGGAAGGTCATTCCAGCAGCTGGGAACAGTCCAGGAAAAGGTCAGTGAGAGTGATTTTGAGCCTCTTTGGGATGGCACCGCGAGGCGACGTTCACTTGCAGAACGCAAGCTTCTGGAGGGCGCATAAGTTTGAACTAGCAAGTTTAGGTATATTGGTGCAGAGCCAGTTGTTGTCTTGTAGGCAAACACCAGTACCTTGAATTTGATGCGAGCAGCTACTGGTAGCCAGTGCAAACTGATGAAGAGATGTGTAACGTGAGCTTTTTTCGACTCGTTAAAGACCACTCTCGCTGCTGCATTCTGGATCAGTTGCAGAGGCTTGATAGTGCATGCGGGAAGGCCCGCCAAGATAGCATTAGAGCATTGCAATAGTCCAGTCTGGAGAGAACAAGAGCTTGGACAAGGATTTGTGTGGCCTGCTCTGATAGGAAGGGTCTAATCTTCCTAATATTGTATTAGGCAAATCTGCAGGACCGGGCTGTTGTAGCAATATGGTCTGTGAAGCTTAACTGATCATCCATCACAACTCCAAGGTTCCTGGCTGTCCTGGAAGGAGTTATGGTTAACGAACCCAGCTGTATAGAGCAGTTGTGATGAAACGATGGGTTGGCTGAGACCACTAGCAGTTCTGTCTTAACAAGGTTGAGCTGAAGGTGATGGTCCTTCATCCAGCTAGAAATGTCTGTCAGACAGGCTGCAATGTAGTAACCGAGAGCAAGGCAGTCTCAGTTGAGTGGCCGCTTTTGAAGCCAGATTGGTTGCTGTCCATGAGGTTGTTCTGTGCAAGGAACATAGAGAGTTGGTTGAAGTGTCTTTGCAATGAACGGAAGAAGGGAAGAAAAGTGCTGGATTTAGAGAGGGTTTCTTAAGCAGTGGGGTTACCTGAGCCTGCTTGAATGCTGTGGGAAATGTACCAGTGTGAAGAGAGGTGTTGATAATGTGAGTAAGCGCAGGTATGACTGAAGAAGAAATGGCCTGAAGGAGGTGAGTGGGGATAGGATCAAGTGGACAGGTAGTAGGATGATTGGAAAGGATAAGTTTGGAGACGCCTGTCTCCGAGAGCAGAGAGAAGGAGGAGAGAGAGTGTGTATTTGTCATTATGAAGTTATCATCAGTTTGTGGTGTGGAGAATTGATCATTGATGTTTCTTGTTTTATTTATGAAGAATATTACAAAGTCATCAGCTGTAAGAGTTGATGAAGGAGGAGGACAGAGAAGAGAAGAGAAAGTTTTGTTCGGGTTTGATCCAAGTCTCAGTTAGGGCCATTAGATTGAGACCGGAATGAGTAGCAATAGAAGGAATAAATTCTGCTTTGTTTACAGCAGACTGGCAGTTCCAGAGACAAAATGGAATAGAGAGTAAAGTAGTAGAGGACATATTCAAATATAGGTTAGGTATATATATATATATATATATACATACACCAATGTTTTTAGTGTACGTTGAAATAAAATCAAATATAAAAAGCTGATTTTATTTCAGCGAGTTGCCAAGACAACATTTCTCATTTTTATTTAGTTTGTTGACATACTAAAATAATTAAAACTAAATAAACTAAATCTAAAACTTAATAAATAACTAATACAAATTACAAACACACAACAAGATTACAGTATGTTTTACAAGATAATACTATTTCAGTCTTTCTACTTCAAAATTTCACGTTTAATTATTTTAGAAATTTATGGCTGAACATTTTTTTTTTTACTGTAAGTTAAAATGATTTTATTTCAAGTACTTGCCAAGACAGCATTTCTCATTTTTGTTTTGTGTGAGTACTAAAATAACTAAAACTAAATAAAATAAAAACTAAAACTTTATAATAACTACATAGACATGTTCGTTCGATATTTAATTCCATGTGCTACTTGACTTTTTTTTTAGTAATTATTTGTGAAATTTGCTAGGGATTTATGAATTGAAAATCGGCACCAAATTTTTTTCAGTGTAAGTTGAAATAAAATATAAACTCTTAAAGGGGTCATATGATGCTTTTTTAAAGATCATTATTTTGTGTATTTGGTGTAGCAGAATATGTTGACATGCTTTAATGTTCAAAAAACACATTATTTTTCAAATACTGTACACTGTACATTATTGTAGGTCCTCTATGCCCCGCCTCTCTCAAACGCTTCGTTTTCTACAAAGTCCCTCCTTCCGACAAGCGCAGTCTGCTCTGATTGGTCAGCTGACCCAGTGCATTGTGATTGGCCGAACACCGCAAGCACTCGTCGGAAATGTAACGCCCCTTACCATAATCGCGAG